TTTCTTTTTCTTTTTCTTTTTTTTTTAAGATTTATTTATTTGTACATACAGAACTGGGGTACAGGCTAGAGGCTCAGGGGCAGCGAGAGGCTTCTCCAGAGACAGAGTGGGGAGCAGAACAGGCAGATCGATGAAGTACACAGCTGAGGGGAGCAGCGGGCGGGTCAGGAGAGGTCTGCCTCGCCATGTGGTCACCTCTGGGGCAGGCGGGGATCGAACTCATGTGAAAGTGGCTTTAGCTTCTCAGTGCTGTGCTTTAACCCGCTGTGCCACCAGGGAGGGTCCTGTTTCAGGCTTTATTTGATCTTTCTACACCATTCGTAGTGAGGCAACCAGGTGCAGGTAGGTGGGGCTGGGTGGCAGGAGGATGCCAGGCTTCCTAGCCCCTTTCATGATTTCTGCGCTCTGGAGATCTCTGGCGTTCTCTGTGGTCTCTTGGGCATTCTCTGTCGCCTGTGGCACACTCTGCCATATGATGTTCTCTCGTGGTCCTTCTCCAATGCACTCTGCCACAGGCTCTCTGCCGCACCATGTCCATGTCCATGATGCTGCCCTTTCATGCTCAGCCTCCAGGCTGGGGCCACCCACTCACGCACACCCACACCATGCTCCGAGGCCACCATCAGGGAGCCCCCGCTCCCCCGCGCCTCCTGTATTCAAGGCCACAGGCGATAGCCACAGAGGTCAATGATGCAAAAGCCTGAGTAGTCTTCATCTGCTCTGCAAGGCGCCGCTCGGGGAGGAAGTGTTGTGGACCCAAAAATATACACACGCCAACATTTGAAGGCACCATGTCCCCTCACTGATCTGTTCACCTTCTTTCTTTTAGCCTCGTGTGGTTGCATAGCTTAGGATCATGGGTCCCTAAGGACTTCCCAGTAATTCTAGGTAACCAGTGTAACTTTGGTCTCCTGACTTTGGAACCAGATTGAATTTGCTCAACCCTTGAGTCCCCGTTCTGCCCAGAAACTAGAGTTAACGAGCCTCAGCTTTAGTTCAGAAGGAAGCTGAGTGCTTGCACCTAGCAGGCCCTACTTACACAGCTGCAGCTCTGGGAAGAATGTTAGTCCAGAGGCAGCTCCTGTCACTACCACACAGATCTCCTAATAAGAAAGTTCTTAAATGGAGTCCGAGTATCTACTGATCCCAGCTCTGCCCTCTGGAAATTCCCAGGAATCAAACCTGTCCCTCATAAACTCACATAAATACTTGAGGATGGCCGCCTTCCACCTGCGGGTATTTCAATCTCTAGGATCAATATATTTTACGCTTCTAACCTGGAAGTCTGTAGGCCATCATTCCAGCACAGTTCCCCTCCACCAGGGTCTCGGGAGCCTGGCCCGGTGCCTGGTGCACAGCGGGCTCTCCATACAGCCTAGGAAATGCATGGGTGAGCCCACTCCCTCCTTTGAACTATGTTAAGTTGTCCTCTTTCCTCTTGGCATGTGGAGAACCAAGCTCCACTCTTAACACATATCGAGCGAGTATGTCAAAAACTGAAACCAATGCAACTTAAAGAAAATGTCAAAACTTTTGTGGGTACAAAAGGGCAGCTCTTGAACTGGAGACTTAAGGCTGAACTTGGCCAGCCACTCAGGAAATGAGGGTGCCAGCGCAAGGACGCACCGCGGAGACTGGCCACTAGAGGGCGCAGTGCTCCCTAAACGCCCCAGGCCAGGCTGATGGGTCCCGGCGCTGGAGGCTCCCTGCCCAGTGGGAAGGCTTAGTAGGCCAGTCACCACTTGAGGGGACGTCCGTCTCGTTTCATGTGTTTTTGTTCATGACCATTAATGTTAGATCTCTGTGGCTGTGGGAGTATGTATGGGCTCCATTTTTTATTTTTCTTTAACAATGTCAACTGGAACATCTAAAACCTGGGGGTCTCCTTGGTCACTCAGTCACCCCTGTCTGAAAGGCTTCAGACACCAACACTGGAGGAGTCTGACTGCTTGTGCGTGTTCTTCATGTCCCTGGGGCCCGGGTGTGAGTCAGGGGTCCGGGTCTTGCGGCAGGCACAGCAGGGCCCCAGCTCTGGGTGCAGGACCCAGTGTGGCGGTTCTCATGACAGCCTGTGAGGCCGCTGGCTCCTGGCTGTCTGTGCCCCTATCTGCAATCTGTGGCTTTGTCTCCTTTCCATCTGCGGAGGCTCCCATGTAATCAGCAAGTGTCCTTTCTCTGAGGGGACTGGGCTCCTCCCTGCCCTTCAGCCTCTCCTGCCTCTCAGCTTCTGAGTGTCAGGTCTGGACTGGCCAGTCTGTGCACACCATTCGGTCAGAGAACAAAGACTTTTTTTTTTTGGACATGGGCCAGTCTGGGCAAGAGTCCCTGAGTGTCCCTCAGTCCAGTCAGGCTTTCTGGGGCCTCCTTGCAGGCTGGGTTGGGGGAGAATAGCGAGTAGGAGAAAGGGAGAGAAAATGTATTCCAACCAGATGGAGAGGTGAGAGAGCTGTGATTCAGGCATCTGGGGCTGTTCAGGGACTTGAGAAGTCTCCCTTGGCCTGTGGGGCCTGTGGCGCTCTGCAGTGCTGGACAGGACACCCAGGCAGGTTCACGCTGTCTCCCAGGACCTGGTGCAGGGCCCAGCACTGCATGTGTTCAGTGAGCACTTGTCAGATGGACGGGTGGGCAGAAGATGGCTTCTGGAAACAGACTGTGTGCTATGGGACTTTCCCCAGATGAGTGAGAAATTTGTCTGGAGTGAAGAGGGACACTGGTTAGAATCCTGACTTCATCATTTACTAGCTTGGTGAGGCCAGGCCAGATCCTAGGGACCCCCTGAGGCCGTAGTCAGGGTTCCCTTGGAGGACTTCACAGACCTCAGGCTCAGGGCATGCCTCTCTGAGGGCTCCAGGTCGCTGCTTGAACTCTGCTCCCCAGTTGTCTCCCACTTCTTTCTCACCTTATAAAAACTCTAAGCTTGAGAAATGAGGCCTTGCCCTGCCAGAAGCAGTGAAGGCCTCAGTTCCACACAGCCTTGGAGAGGGGCTGTCCTGGCCTTCCACAAGCACGGCACAGGGACCCAGCATTCCAGGGAACCTGGGGGAATGAAGAAGGAGGTCCTGAGCCCCTGGTGAGGCCAGCATTTGAGGTGACTCTTTTGGGCTCAGAGTTCAGGGCATGGCTAAGGAGGTTGCCATTGGATATTTTGAGAATTCCTGCTCTCTTGTAGCCACTTTAGGCAACCCCAGAGCCCACAGCTGTGGGAAGCAGACTCCCTGGCTTCCCTGAAGCTGGGACAATTGGCACATAAGATAATTTTGGTGTGTTAACCTGTGGTCTTCTCAGAGACCTAGTTTGTCCTCTGACAGGGACATCACAGATAGACTGTCTTCCACGTGGCTCCCCTCCTCCCCATTCTAGCCCTTTCTTTTGGAAAGAAAGGGGAAAGATGTGATAGTGGGCAAGTCCCTGCAGTTTTGAGGGTGGGCAGGTCCCAGCCCTGCTGGGTTTTCTGTGTGTAAAGTGTGTGCATGGGTGGGCCTGTGATATGGCTGGAGGCAGGGCCGGGCCCGGTACCCCTGTAAGAAGGCCTCTTTGGCATTACTTTACTGGGTGTGGTGAGGCCTTTTTTAATTTTTTTTTAATTCCTATTCCAGATTCTCAAAAAATGGGAGAACATGGACAATAGATGCGTAGTAGACAGGAAAGAACACATGTCAAGTCAGATATCAGCCTTAGGATCAGCTTTATTCTGTATTTTACCTTGACCAGGGAGAAAAAGGCAAAGAAGTTGTGGAGACCAGCCTGCACCACACAGACATACATCACATCTCCAAACAATGTACATGGCAGAAATGAAGGGCTCACAGCAGACCAGCCACAAAGCACCAAGATCAACCAGGGCCCCAACCATCCCAACTCATCCTTCCTTACTGGATGTTTGGTTTCAGGAATGTAATACTTTTGTTTCGTTTTCGAGAGCACAATCAGCATTCAAATGTCCAGTCACTCACTGTTCTTTTTGATGATGCAGAAACAGAATGACTGGGTTCTTGACTTTCGCACCACCACCCACTTCTCCACACCCATGGTGGTAGTTAGTGGCCAGTGCAAAGTCCATCAACATTCAGGTTTTTTTGAGGCCTGATACCCCGAGAGCCCGATGGCAGCCTCCTTGGCTGTGACACACTCAGGGCAGGTGAGTTTTTTTTGCCTACGGAGCTGTACTAGGCATCGGTGATCTCCTCTAACAACCACACTGTCCCGGTAGTTGAGATCTTCTGGATGCTGAAACCACACTTACTCACAAAACTTGATGAAATACAGAGAGAACTGTCTTTGCAGACACAGACCAAGTCCTGGAATGCTGAAGAAGTCAGGAGGTGAAAGCAGGGTGCACACAGAGGTACCCACATGGGAGAAGGTCACCATAGCCTGGGTGAGGGTTGGGGTTTCACCTATGGGCCATCTTCTTGACCCCGGATGGCGGGAGGAGGAGCTACTTTCCTTTGCTGGGTGGTGAGCACTTCTCCTGCACTTTCTGTGGGCAAGCTTCCACACATTTTGACTGGGATAGCTCCTGGCATGGCTCCACACATGGAGGTGGGCATTGGTCTTGGCATGGAGGTAGGCACGGATCTTGACTTTGCAGTGGGCAGCTCTCTTGGGTTAGCTCTTGGCACTGAGTAAGACACACCTCCTGGGCTTGCAGCAGGCATTTGTCCTGGCAGAGGTCCTGGCTTGCGGGGAGGCACACCTCCTCAGCCTTTGCCTGGCATGGCTCTTGGGTCTTTTGAAGACACGGAGGAAGAGTGCATGGCTGCTTGCACTGTTGCTCGTTAAAGGACATCTTAGAGTGGTTTGTAGAACCTGAAACAAGCATATTTGAAATGATCTGCGTTAACAGGCTGGGAACTGGGGGGATAAATGTTGCTAGAGAGGAATAGGAAGCAAATGATTATGAGCCCCAAAACTCATGTCTCTGTGGCTTGTTAGCCATTTCTCTTCTTCTCCCTACTTCCACTGCCTCCTCTCATATTTGCAGAGCTTTTGTCTAGATATACATTGCCGCAAACCCCAGTCTTAACTACAGGTCTTTTCCTTTTCTTCTGTTTGCATGCATCTTCTTGAAAATCAGTGCAAAAGACTAAATAGAAAGTACAGGGTGCTATTAAAACCTCAATAAATGACAAAGCACTGAAAAAAATCAGCATAAAGTGGAGTCCAGGGGAAAAACAGAATACTAGGCTCTTGGAGATAGAACATCGAGAGAGAACAAGGTTCAGAGCTACGCCACTTACCTGCTATCCAATAAGACTCAACAAAGGATGTGGATGGTGGAGCCCAGAAAGATAGGGGCTTTTATATAGTGCTTAGTCCAGCCTCCCAGCGCTGACTGGCCACGTGGGCCGAGGCCCTAATTGTGTAGTCACCATAACGAGCTTCCTCTGAAATTGCCTATGGTTTGAGTCACTGCTTGGGATGCCTGTTAATCAGCCTCCATTTTGGCCTCTGGGTCCTCACCAGACCTCAGCAGGGAGGAGCTCCTCTCACATCTCTCTCATTAGAGGCTGCAGCGACAGAATGTTCGTAAAATGTTATCTCAGTTTGTTAAACTAAGATTGGGTTCCTTGTCTGCCCAAACTGGTTCAGGATGTGAGGTGAGATAAGATTCCACTTGCTCATCTCATCTTCGCCAATGGGAAGACTTTATGCCGACAGTCTGGGGTCTGTCTGGGGTCAAGGGCATGCATGGCCTGTTTCAGATATTTCCCCTGGCTGTCTCTTCCTCTCGCCTGGAAAGACACTTGCAGATCCCAGGCAGGTAATTTGTGCTGTGGCTCCAAGGAAAGGAGCCTCCTGAAGAGAGTAGTTTTCCTGTTTGCAGGCCTTGAGGGAAGCTGGAGTCACTTGTCACTCTTGGGAAGTAGAGGGTACAGGGATAAGAGAGAAGGAAGCTGATGGTCATCATCTCAGCTGGCTTTGTGACAGTCCTAAAAGCACTTACTCAGTTTTCATAACATCCAAGAAAATGGAATAGGTTAATCTGTCTCTTTGTCTTCTAGAGAATCTTTTCTTAGGATCCAGGTCAATGAAAGTCAAGGGGATGAAAGGAAAAGTTCCATGGCAAACACACCAAGTTCTCTCCACCTCTAAGTTTTTGTTTGGGCTGTCAGCTCTGTCTGTGTGGCTGCCCTTTCTGGGTCTGTAAAAACTCTCAGCACTGGTCAAGGTTACATTTAAACCTTCCTACATGAACCTTCCCTGATTAATTCAGAGATGAACTCAAATTTTTCTTTTTGTTATTTATATGATATTTACTATTGGTATTAGGAATTCCAGTTATGTATGGTTAAGATAGTATTATTACCCTGGACTGCAGATTTCTAGAGGGCAGTGTCTGTGCTGTCCATAGTCAGTGGAAGAGTGGCTCCATGGAATCATTGATGGCATACATGCATTCACAAAGGAATGAGGGGGTGACTCTGGGAGACAAGTGGGAGGAGAGGAGGCTCGCATGTGACAGAAAATGGGCACTAATCATCATGAAATAAGCCCCTAGTCCATAAAGTGGTGGCCTTGTGCTTATCTGCTGAAGTTGACCAAATTCCAAGGACTTTAATGGCAGTGCCTAGTAAAGGTATGTTTATGCCATCTTATGAGAACTGTTTGGCTAAGATCAGAAATGCCTTCAAGGGTTTACTTAGTTTTTGGATAATTGATTGCTAAAAAAAGATTTAAAAAATTGAGCTGGGGGAGGCCAGGTGACATTTTTGCCTTCAGGACTGGTGTATGGATTGATGGAGTGCCACCGTGACCCCTTGGTCTCCTGGCCAGCGACAGATGCCTGACTGGGGAGAAGTCAGAGGCAGGGCGTGTGCTGTTCTTCCTGTGAGAGACATTTCCCCTGGCGGGTGGAGTGGGAGAGGGCCTGCAAGGGGTGAAGAAGAGCAATAGGGAGACCCATGCACATCTGAAGAGACAGTTATCTGGGGAATCTGGGGAATGGATGGCCAAGTATAGGAGAGGGGTTTCTGCTTCTTTTTCTTCTCCTTCTCTTATTTTTCCATCTCCTTCCATTTTTCCTCTCCCACTTCATCTCCTTCATCTTTTCTATAGGAAGCTGTCTGAGAGACACAGCAACTCTCCAGAGCCCTCCGGGAATTCTCCACGGTAGAGTTCATTCATTTGTTCAGTCATTCATGACCCTTTTTTGAAGGGACTCACAGTCTCATGGGTAAGATGTACAGAAGTTAACCTTCCTGCCCCAGAAGAAGGCCTCTTTATTAGTCTTGGATGGGAAGTCCTAGAAGAATCCTGGGAGAGGAGATGCCTGTGCTGTGTTCCCCTGGACAGCAGAAGAGGGAGGGAGAGGGCATTCTTGGAAGGCTTGTATAAGAAACCCTTTTTAGAAGGTTTTTGAGGTGAATGAAGAACCTGAGGCTGATTCAGGAAAGGGACAGGTAAGAGATTGGTGAGAGATTACTGATATTTCCAGAAGTTTTCTGCAGCAAGATGCATGATATGACCCTGCTCATACCTACCACATGCATTTCTGTCTTTGATTGATCCTAAGGGATGAGATCAAACTAGGATGTATGGAGCAATAGAGAAACCAGGTTTTCTCATGGTGGGGGAGGGGCATGATTAGGAAGATGAGGAGTTTAAGTCCGCTCTGCTTGACATTGAGGGGAATACATCAAAATGGGCCCACTGTCATTGCAAGGGCCCTTCAGTGTGGAAATGGGTACAGAGTCAGAGAGAGTCCAGTTGAGAAAACTATTGCTGGCTTCAAAGATGAAAGAAGGCCATGAGCTTCATGTGGACCATTTGTAGAAACTAGAAAAGGCAAGGAAACAGATTCTTTCCTAAAGCCTCTGGAAAGAAATGTAGCCCTGTTGGTATTTAATTTTAGCCCAGAGAGATGCCTGTCAGGCTTCTGACTGAGAACTATTAAGAGAAGACATTTCTCTTGCTACTTTGAGCCACCATAGTAGAGGTAACTTGTCATAGCAGCAACAGGAAACTAATACATCTTACCAATATCTGAGGCTCTTGGGAATTCTGGAAGAGCAGAGTCTCAGATGAAGAAGTCAAATCCCAGTTTTGTGCTTCCTCATTAAATATATACTTAATTGTCATGCCAGCCGCCTCCAAGATTAGCTTTTGGTAAGGCATGGGTGAACTTCCCTAGGGCTGACTATTACTTAGAGTCTGTGGAAATACTGGATAAGCTATTGAGCCTGTCAGAGCCCAATTTACTCTGGTTGAGAAGGGTGACACTATTTTATAGATTTCTCATGACGACTAAATTAGAGAACACACTCACTAACACACAGGCCATTATGTTCCTTAACAGAAGTGCGGCTGAAGGCGTTAGCATTCATCACCTTCATGAAGCCTTTCTTGGTCCCCCTCCCCCCCAGTTCCCCTTGTTCCATTTCCTTTACTCAGCCCTCTTCCACCCCTCTCCCCCAGCACTCAGCCTTTGTCTTGTACTTTTTAAATTACTGTGCTTGAACGTGTAAGTTTTTTACTTATTGTGATGCAGTACACAATGTGCAGCAAAGTTCCCAGGAGACCTGTCTCTGTTCTTAACAAGATGTGTGACCTCCGGCAAGTCCCTGACCCTCTCTGGCCTCAGTTTACTAGCTTTAATTTAGAAAAGTTAGATGACAAGTCAGTTGGGACCATTTCAGCTCTGACATTCGTGATACAATAAACATGATAATAAATGATCAGCTTGTGCACTCTGTATGACTTTGTAAGAGTGTGGATGCACATCTCTGTGTGTGGTGGTGGGTGGTGGGGTCTTTCTTCCTTGATCAGATGATATCCCACCCATAGGGAGACCCAGCTTTCTGTTCTGTGTGTGACAGTGGCCTATTTCGTTGGCTGAGTGACCACAATGACCTGAGTGGGAGTATTTGAGGTGTAAGAACTCAAGAATCAACCTTGGTGGCCTATATCTGGGGCTGTGACTTGGAGAGATTTGGGGAGATTGCTCTAGCCCACATCTTAAGATTAGGTGACTAAGTAATTTCTCTAGTCACCCCCAGCCCTGCAGCGAGACTGGGGCTATTTTGATTTAACGTCAACTGAAATTTAAGATTTTAGATTTCTGTGGCTGTCATTATTGGGAGCCAGGGTATAATTACACAGGGTCAGCAGAAGAGAGTCAGGTGTGCGTAAGACATTGCTTCTCCTCCCCCCCCCACCATTCCCACCAAGTAACTATCTCCTTTGCTCAGGTCATAAAAGTTCCCAGACTCCTCTGATTCACTTGGCTGGCCCACTGGCCTATGACAGGGCGGTGGCTCTGATAAAGCTGAATGCAGCTCATCCTTTTTCCCAAGCTGCAGATGCCTCTGGACAGCTTACCCAGCTGGTGGGTTCCTGGAGGAAAGAGAGCCTCTTCTCCTCTCCCATCCCTCCTGCAGTGACACCCACACAGGGAGTGTGAGTCAGAGGGTGTGGGCAGGGCTGTGGCTCGCAGGCCACCAGGCCCAGAAGAGACACGAGAAGCCACCTGACTCCACCTCCCTGCTTAGCCCAGCACGTGGTTTGAAGCAGAGACATGGAATTACTTATGAACTTTTTTTTTTTAAAAGATTTATTTATTTGTGCATACAGAACTGGGGTACAGGCCAGAGGCTCAGGGGCAGCGAGAGGTTTCACCATAGACAGAGTGGGGAGCAGAACAGGTAGATCGACGAAGTACACTGCTGAGGGGAGCAGAGGGCGGGTCAGGAGAGGTCTGCCAGGCCATGTGGTCACCTCTCGGGCAGGCGTGAATCGAACTCATGCGGAAGTGGCTTAAGCTTCTTAGTGCTGCGCTTGAACCCGTTGCGCCACCAGGGAGGGCCATGAACTTTTTTTTAAGATGAGGAAACTGAGGGGCACGTTTGAGGGCCTTGTTCAAGGTCACGTGGTGAACTCGTGTGAGAACATTTAGCACACTGCTGTTTTGGGGGCTCTATAAATTTCAAGGGGGCAACAGAGACACCAGTTCTGAGCGGCTTTGGGGTGATGAGAAATTCCACACGTGGACACATCCGTACCTTTGGGAGGGCTCATGGTCACTAGGTTAAAGGCTTCAGATGCAAACTTGGGGAGGAAAGATGCTGAAGATTGCTTAGGCTAGTGCTGGCCCTTAGTCCTTTTCCTTTCTGAGTCTGGGTCCTGGCTCATCTTGGCCTAAATCGTATCTAGAAACCCAGACTTCCCACTCATTGTGACTTTGGTGAGCTCGTGTCCCTCCCAGAACCTGAGTTTTCTCACCTGAAGGGGCGGCCCCATCACACCCCCACGTGGCTGTCATTTTCCGTGAATCAAAAGTC